GTGGCCGTTGTGGGGAAATGCCGGGAGCGCTGGCAGTCGTCCTGGTGTGTTCTCTTGGCGTCCCGTGGGATGCACCCAGCAAGGGCTGCAGGAGACATTCTGTTTAATGCGGCTATAGATCGACATTGTGACATTCGCTTTCGGGACCTTCAGACATTGAGCGTCCTATGTAAGATTTGTTTTTGCTGCTGGCTTCTCCTTTTCCACGTGCTTTCTCGTTCTCCACTCGAAAATTTATCTTCAAATTTTTTAATGGCACTATTCTTATTTTAGACTCGCTTTTCTTCTATGCAGCGAATCGAGGCTGCGATAGAGTGTGCAATTAGATGTCGGAAATATAATGCCTTAATTACGGAAACTTTCGAGCTGGCCCGTTCTCAGGCTAAATCGGCCATTGAAAAAGGCCTCACTCCTGTACCTGTCGTCATAAAAGATTGCTTCGCGTAAGTGGTATAAATACCTTGAATACGTCGTTAAATAATGTTGTTTTTCTATTCGGAAAAAATTTACCGTGCGTTGTTGGTTTCCAGCGCTTATGTTAACCGTCGATTTCAAAGGGGAACTTTCACTCCACAAAACCTTTCAGTGGTGCATATTCTGTTAGTTTAGCAGTTTCTCTACCCCCTTTTTTATGGGCTAGATGCGATGCTCGCTCCGACGTCGATTCAAAAATGCCATTCACCCAACCATGTCCTTTATAGCCCAGGCTCATTTATTGGATAGCAAGTTTATTCTTAGGCCATAATAGTCTCTCTTGGATCATATAATCAAATTTTACGTGGTCTAGGTGTTATTCACAGCCCATAGCCTAAGGAAGTTGGATAGGAGACTCTTTCCGAATCAATGATATCGTTCATTATATCCATATTATCCTTTTATGTTCTTTCTCAGCTTCATTTCAGTTTTATTCGAATAATCTTTTTGAATTTTTTCTTGAAATAGGTTATGAAATGACGGTTTCAGACTTAAAAACCATCTTCGTTTTCCAGGGTCGCTGATTATCCTATGACATGTGCTTCTCAAATGCTGGAGAACTACATTCCACCGTATACAGCAACAGTGGTTCAAAGACTGATCAATAAAGGTCAGTATGACTCCTTTTGAGGTTTTTGCGTCGAAGTAACTTCATTGATTTCTTCATTTGTAGTTGTATAGGAGGATGTGTTATCGGAAAAGCAAACATGGATGAGTTCTGTATGGGAACGTCTAGCGCTCTTGGTCACTTCGGACCTGTCAAAAGTGGTCTCACGGTTAGTGTTTTTATGTTTGGTTTATAAGCAATTGTCTTTCCCAAAAATTTCAGCGATTTAAGCTTTGTCACGTTATCAATTTAAGACACCCGTTTCTTTATTCTCGAAGGGGTAGCGGTGTCGTCGAGCACTTCCGTGGAATGCTAGGAAGGCTGTTTCATGCTAACCATGTCTATATCCTCCAATCAAATTTGATACTGAACTGAAACCAAGTAGTAAAGAAAAGCTCTAGACAGCTTGCATTGAAGTTCATAAATTGAGTAGCAAGAAGAATGCCAGGAATTAGTGCAGGGTACTCATTGCTATACGAAGACTATGTGCTTCACTTCCTTCTCAGTCTCTTTCACGGCGTCATACAATATCTGCTAAGCAACATCGCATACAAGTCTATCTTGCAAAAGATCGCCTATCAGTTGAACTCCAATCGGAAGGTTGTCCGCACTGGATCCACATGGAACCGAGATAGCGGGCAGTCCTACAAAAAATTACATTACTATATTTATTTTCGTAAATAAAAGGATAAGGGAAAAAATCATCGCGTCAATCGAATCTTTTAGGGATGCACCATGGAGTCGCTAGCGCCCACAATTATCCGCCACTTCAAGTGTTTCGGTTCGAAACGCATCGCTAGAGTTGATCTTCTACATTAAGAAAGAAAGCGGGAGAAAGGAACTCCAGTATTAGCTCGAAATTAGCATCCAAAATTTACTGAGCTCGGTTTATGATAGTGCTGAGGAGAGGGAAAGAAAATGCTGTACAAGAAAAGAATGGACAAAAGTGATTCGTATATAAGGCCAGTGGCGTGGCTCGCTGCCACTGTCTTTCAGGTGTAAATTGAAGAAGCATTGAATACGTAGCTCGCATGTGCAGTACATATGTCAGCCAATGTTAAGTGGCTATTTTTAATTTATTGGAACAAAGTTTTTAATTGACCTGTGAATGGCTTTAGGCATGGGTGGTGCTTCCATGGATCACGATACCTATTGCAGGAGGCCATACACTATCGCCAAAATCTTGGTTTTTCTTACATTCCCCACCATTGTTATGAGGTTACAATGACGCATATTAACAACTGTATCATAGGAAAGTGATCTTCTTCGAACTGGGGGGGGGGGGGGGGGTTTGACCTCGAAATTTCCCAAAATCAGGCCCCCAACCAAAATGCAGGATAACTTCACATTGCGGGGGACAGAAATGACAGAAATCCTTCACCTCACATTCAATATTCCAAAAATTTGTTCTCTTTCCTCGACCCTCTTCGTCAACGTACAGTGTGGAGATAAGTTGTGATTAAATAGACTTCTGCGCTCAAAAAAAAAAACGCACAGCCAAATTTGGTCATTTGAATCACACAACTTTATTGACGAAATTACCAGTACATGGAGAGAACCTAGGCTGAATTTGACAGCCCCTAGGAACCCATTCGTAATACGATATCTTCCTATGCCTATTTCACTACCAGCGCTGGAAACATTACTATTAATAAGACGTAATTCGTTCAGAAACTACTCGATTGATAGAAATTAAGGATAGCTGCCAGTATTCTAGTTGTATCGGCTACTGGTTAGCCTTGTTTCCATGCGAGGAACTATCGGCGACAGCGAAGTAAAAGTGGCGGTCCAGAAGGCATCGATATAGCGTCAATAACCCATGAGTACCTAATCCTGAAATCCTAATTAGGAATGTGATCACACTCTTGTTAACCAGTAAGAAACGCTAGGCTCATTGAGAAAACTTTTTTTGCTAATATTTCTTGATTTGATCATTGGGAAATAGCAACCAACCAGCAAGATTAGCAGGTTGTGGTAAGAATCATCGTATCTTCCTCCTGTAGAAACCTTTGTAGTGATCCGAGAAACGAGGAGCAGCTCCCGTCCCGGTAGGCGTTAACAGCAAATCTACCCTTCTCAAAACATCGTACATCTCTGACGCAATAACTTTGCGAACTTTCAGTGCGTGATCATAGAATTCCTTTCGATGCCTAAATTATCAGCACTTCAATAAAAACAAAAAGGAGGCGAAGAAATGTGACTTGTGGAAAAAGAAACAATACTACTCTCAATTCTCTTTTACGTTGGTAATAAATATAGTGCACTCACGCAGCGAAAGAAGAGAAGATTAGTAATTATCTACAAAACACAGCGCACTTAGGGGAAATCGAAAGTTTACGAAGGAAAATGGGATTTGAGAAACTCGGAGAATTCGAAAAATGTTGAAAAAACAGATGTAACAAGAGCTTTCTGGAAATGAAGTAGTTAT